GGCGCCGCGGGGGCCCCGGCCGCGCCCCACGCCCAGACCGCTCCCCTTTGGAGTTGACCTGGGGGCGCAGGGGTCGGGGGCTGAGTAGGCCCCGCCCCCGGGAGCACACAGCGCTGGGGGGGGCGACTAAAGGAGGGCCCTGGTATGGCGTCCGAGTGAGCGGTGGCCGGGGGACCCAACTACCCGGGACCATCAAGGGGGTGGAGGGGGGTCGCCTTCACTCCTGAAGGGTTAATTCTGCAGCCTCATGTCCCCCTCCCTCTGTGGGGCAGGTTGGGAGTGGGGTGGGGCGGGTGTGAGCCCGGGCTAGCGCTGCAAACTGCTGGAAGGGCGATGGCGTAGGAGCCAGGCAGAGAGGGGGGGAGGGGTGGGCCGCTGAGCGCCCCAGAGTTGGGGTGTTCGGGGTGTGCATTGAAAGCAGGGGCCCCGGAACCGCCAGCCCGTCGGGGCAGGGTTGTAGCTGCGAGTCTCGGAGATTGTATCTCCCTGCCGTGTTGTGGGGCAAGGTAAAGTGCCCTGGGCACCACCGTTTGCTCTTCTAGCACCCAAGGGTCCAGGTAAGGCCCTCAACTGGGCCATAGAAATAGCCAGGAGGGGTATCCAGTGTTGTGGAGCAGAATTACCAGATATGGCTCTGTGGCTCTGGGTGACAGACATTCTAAGGAGGGCACAATACCTTGAGCACAGTTTGTTCATGTATGTTTTCTTGCACGCATGTCTTGAGTTGCACATAGGAACTGTTTATGTAAACAGTTGTTCTCTGAGTAGCTGGCCTGTCGGGTTTATGCTATGGAGGGCGCCAGGATGTTTCCATTTGAAGGGACAAGTTGCGGACTTTCGAGTCAGAAGGGATGGCAGGGTCCTGTTTCTGTAGCTCTGCTGAGGTGTGGTCCAGTTGTGGCGAGGTCAGGCGGATGGCTAGTTGCAAGGGGATTTGCCTATCTGGAACTCAAATCCCACTGACCACAAGGGAAGTGAGAAACCCTTGGGTGTGTCTAGGGTGCCTGCGGGTCTGCTGGCACCGGTGTGAGGGGCTCTGGGTGGGATATGCAAGTTGTGTGATCATGGGCAGCCAAGCAAGAAGGCTGTGTGTTTGCACCATCCTCCACAGGATTCTTTGGTGACGTTGTTTGTGGGGGCCTGTCTGGACTGTCTGTAGGGTTGGGAGGCAAACAGAAAACATTTGTGGGGCGAGAGGTGGCATGACAGGGCAATGTGGGCCTTAGATCCAGAGACCAGCCATAGCTGTGTGCGTGCTTACCTTCCTTGTGCTTAACTGGTGGTGTGGGGCTGCCAAAGGAATGTTAAGGAAAGTCGGGGAGATAAATATGGGCAGAGTAGGAGCAGCAGGCAGGAGGCATGGGGTGGTACGGCTTGTCTTTTCCAGGGTCTGTTGCTTGCCCCTCACCCAGTGGGTCAGGGTCACTGGGAGGAGAGTCTTGGCGCCTGCAAGGGAAGTGAGCTTAGACAGAGTGGCTCCTTGGCCATGTTTATGTAAAGGTCGGGTGTGACTTTTGTCACTAAAATGGAAAAAAAAAACAAAAAACGATGTGAAGTTTTCAGCTCCTCCCGGTTCGTTTGGTTCGCTCACTTGCTCTTGCTCACTCATCCTCTCCCTCTATCTCCTCCTTGTGGGGGATCTCTGACGCACACTGGGCACCACTCCTGTGATTAGAAGGGCCTCAGACAGAATTTGCTCAGTAGGCAGATTCCTCAGAACAGGTTTTCTTCACCTTTGAGGCCTGGGCCCTTCAGTAGGTGTTGTGTGTGTGTGTGTGTGCGCGCATGCGTGCACGCATGCATGCATGCACGCGTGCATGCGTGCACGCATGCGTACATGCCTGTTTGCTCCAGTTGTATACAACACTGTACTGCGCCTGGCTTGTGGGAGGATATGTACAGACAAGGAGGTCGGAGGGTACCTTGGCTGGATCCTCTGTGTGGGGAGGGAACTGGCTGCCATGTGAGGCCTGAACAGCAGGTGCAAGACAGTAGCCCTACACCACAATGAAGAGTTATGGCGGCTCTGCAGCTTCCTCACTGGCATTTCCCTGAGCATGCCCTCAGTTCCACACCTGTAAAATGGGTCTTACTGTCTGACCTTCCTTACCTTCCAAGAGTGCATAGGAAACAGACTTGAGAAGCAGAAACAGCCCTTGGCAGCCCTCTGCCAGGACCAAGAATCCCTTTCTCTTGGCTTTGCTAATAATAATAGCCATAACATTTGGTTTGGGCCTGCTATATACCAGGCACAGTTCCCAGGGTTTTACATCCCATTGTCTATCCAGTCTTCATGGTAGGTACTCAGAGTACCTCACTTTTTCAGGTTGAGGTAACCGAAGCTCAGAGAAGTTAAGCAATATCCCCTAAGTTATTTAGCTAGAGAGAGTTAAAGCTCATTTTGAACCCACGCAATTGGGTTCTAGAATCTGTGGTTTTGTTTTGTGCCCATAGTAGGACTTGAACTTAGAGCCTAGGCACTGTCCCTTAGTTTTTTCGCTCAAAGCTGGCATTCTACTACTTGAGCCACACCTCCACTTCCTTTTTTTTTTTTTCCTAGCTAACTGGAGATAATTTCATAGACTGTCTTGCCTAGGCAAACTTCGAACTGCAATCCTCAGATCTCAGCCTCCTGAGTCGCTAGGATCACAGGTGTGAACCACCTGCACCTGGCTGAATCTGTGGCCTTGAAGCTGTGCTCTGCTACCTTTCTGAACATCTTCACGAACTCTCCCACTTGCACTCTTTCCATTTCCAAAGACAAGTGTGCTCTTGGGAATCCCAGCGTAGGCCACAAGAACCTAAGTCTTTGCTGTTGTGTTATGTGGGTCCTGGCCATAGAGGCACACAATGTTGATGAATCAGAGGAAGGAGAGATTATCCTTGTTCTGTGAGTCTGTAAAGCTCAACGAAGAGCTTGCATTTCATTTCGATCTTAACATTTTGGAATTGTATTGAGAAAAGTCAGGGAAAGGGCATTGCTGGCAGGAAAGCCCTCACCCTCCACCTCCCCCACCCCCATCTAGGCAAAGGCATGGAGGTGGGCATGCAGAAACTAGAGAGCACACAGGGTGTTTGAGGAGAGAATGGCACAGTCAAAATTAAGGGAACACTGGTAAAGTGGCTCATGCATGTAATACTTAACTATTCAGGAGGCTGAAGTCTGGGGATCAAGGTCTTAAGCCAGCCTAGGCAGTCAGTGAGACTCTTATTTATCGCCAATTAATCATCAAAAAGCTGGAAGTGAAAATAAAATAATTAAAAATAAAAAAGCCACCAGTGCTGGTAGCTCACACATGTAACCCTAGCTACTCAGGAGGCTGAGATCTAAGAATCGAGGTTCAAAGCCAGCCCAGGCAGGAAAGTCCATGAGACTCATTTCTACTATTAGCCACCAGAAAACTGAAACTAGAGCTGTGACTGGAAGT